CCACCCAAATCATACTTAAAAGGAGTATTTTCAGATGTTCTTGAAAAACTTTTTTATTAAGGTAGTTTAGTAAAAGATTCAGAAAATGTTATCCTGGGGGATAGCTGCGATTTTCTTTGCTTCTTCACTTTTGCATTGCTGCAGAAGAGCATGAAGTGAGATACCCTGTTTCCAAGTCTCCCATTCCACAACCCTTACGTGGTCAGTGATGCCCACCTCCTTAGGACGTTAAAATCATTTTGCTCAAAATAGACAAGTTCAAAAGAAATCTGACCCAGTAGAAGGGCAAAAGCAAAAGGGTTGGCGGGAGGAAAAGCTGTCATGCCACTGAAATCTCCATGCTACAAAGCCATTCTGGGAGTCGATGAGTGACCACAGTGACGGAATGGTTATGCTACCCACTCTTTAAAAAACAAAGGTCTAAATTTATTAAATAAACATTAATCATTTTTCAAAAAACAATTATTTGTCATATCTTCGGACGTCTGGGAGAACTTGCTATTGTCCACACAATAGGGTTCATTTTTTTAAATACTCTCATTCTTCATTCCTTTAGAACCTTTTAATATCTTAGAAAATTCAGGTCTATTTTGGGATATTCTTTTTTTTTTCTTTTTGCACAAGATGCCAGAGTAAAAACAAGCTTATAGCCCCATTTATCGCTATGTCTGCACATTTTCAGGTTTCTCCAGCAAGCCTCCTTGGCTTCCCCTTTTCTTATTCATTTTTCCTAATGTTTGAGAAATTAAGTGTAGAATTTTCCTAAATCATGACACCATCTCCCTCACAATAACAATCCTTGGTTTCATTTCTCTGAGCTTCTGAACTCCAAGGAAGTCATTTCACTTTACCTTTCCATTCTTACACATCAGTAATTGGCTCATAAATCAACTTACAATTTTAAGCTGCTGTCCACTTTTATTCTGACTTTTATTCTTTTCTCAGATATTTTGGACTTTTAGGTTGGACTTCACTTGTAACCCAAATCTTACTGTATTCTTGGGCAGAAGTTGCTTTCCTGGAAAGCAGTAACTTCACTATAACCCTAAATATAGCAAACTCTTCATGACTTGAGAATTTTAATGCCTACTATATGCCTAGCACTAAAAATCACCATCAGTTAAAAAGCTTAACAGTGCCTGTCCCAAGCTCCCAAGCTCCAGACTGAAGGCACACATTCATTAAACAGAAAACCAGTCTGTGTTGCCCAAATATAATCCATGCAATCTAGAACTGCAGTAGGACTAAACATTTTGGGTAACTATGCCTTCTAGTTACCATTTTCCTTTCAAGTAACAAAAATTACATTTGAATCACTTTGGACAGAAAACCAAAATGTATATTTTTCTATTCATTAACAAGTTACAGAACATAATTTAATCTCTGGAGGCCAAAAGTTATAACAGACAAATTACAGCACTAAGACTGTACAATGATCCTTAGGGCGTACTAGGGTGTGAAGGGCTAAAGCACCTATGTCAATGACTCTAAAGACTGAGAGGGGGCCAGGGATTTAGCTCAATGGTTCCGGCGCCTGCCACGCAAGCGCAAGGTCCAGAGTTTGATCCCTGGTACCAAAAAAATAAAATAAAATAAAGACTGAGAGGGATGAATTCTGTCTTTTGGGGAGGAAGTTAATCTGTCACAGACACACATACTACCATAACCTCTATGAGGGGACAGATCACATCGGGAGAAGGGATGATTCTGACAGAGAACCTACAGTGTGCCAGGTCCCAGATAAACTCTGCAGGGGATCTAGCAATCACTTGGCCTGGCACAAAGTCGAAGACGGATGAACATCTGGCTAATGAATGGCATTAATATGCCTGCCTGAGCAGGCCCTCCCTTATTTACTGTTTCTAATCTGCCATGGCTTGAAAACAGATCACCAAGCATGAACGATCACCTGAAATGTCTCTGACATGGTAATCTGCACACAGCAGGTGCAACATGGCAAAATTCAACGAGACGAGGGGCCAGGAATGTAGCTCAGTGGCGCTGCACTTGCCTGGCAACTGCAAGGTCCTGAGTTCGATCCCCAGTACTGGGAGGGGAAAAACCCTCAATGAAATGAAATGAGGACAGCTAATAGCACCTCTGAGAATGTGCCAGGAATTGTGTTAAATGTGTCCGCCGTTATCTGAGACAATACCTACATGGCAGGTAATATCATTCCCATTCCACAGACACAGAACTTGAGGCTCCACAGTAGTTACCTTATAGAAGGTCAAGCAGCTGGTAACTGTGAATTGGGAATCCAGGCAGCTTAACTCCAGAACAAATGGTCTTAAATCTAATATTATACTCCCGGAATAACGTAAACACGTGAGGGTCACAAGAACATGGTATTTATAACTTCTTTTTAAAAGTGGAAGCTTTCTTAGCTGACTTTCTGATTCTCTGCCATCTTCTCAAACAGATAAGGATCATCATATGTTAACATAATACTGATGAGCCAAAATGCCAAACTGAAAGCTAGAGGAGCAGAGTATGCATCGATGCCACACTACAGAGTACAGATGAGGCGTTCTCAAGAAGCAGCAGCTTGAAAGATCTGTGTGCACTAAGGTCATCTGGGAGGGCTTAAGAAGTTAAGAGCTAAGCCAAGCAGTGTAAGAGAAAGGGGCATTTTGTCACTTAAGAATATGCACACTGCCTTTGTGGAATGGGGGACCATAAATTCGTGAATGGACAAACACACGTGATTCGAAACATCTACACCTATGCAGCTGTAAGCTCCCCGAATAGCTGGATGTGGCAGGTCTCTGCTGGCAGTGCTAATGGAGAGAGCATCCAATAGCTAATTCAAAGGCCAGATCTGAAGCTCTGATTCCGCAGTTTTCATGGAATAACCCAGGGTCCTTGGTGGAGAGGCCATTTGAAGGGACAGGAACTCATCCCTAGCATCTCCAAACCTATGAGGTGAGGACATGCTGACCAAGGGATTATTTAAGTGCATGGTCTCATCTGCTCAGAAATCTTTCACCGGGTTTAGAGTCAGCTCTAATTAATGACACACCTACTGTAACTAGTACCTGAAGATCCTCCCTGCCCCTAGGAATTGCAGGAATGGGAGGCTGCGAAGCGCTTGGGCATCAGTGCCTCTGTAACAAACACAGGAGCAAGTCAGGAGGAGTCGGAGCTAAGTCTGGACTAGGGAGACACTACCCCACCTCATGGCAGAACCTGGGCACACCAGTGGGAGGCCCAATGGCAAACACTGCTCAACAGACTCCCTACTCTTGCTTACCTATATGGCAGCTAAATCCTCAGCAGGAGTCCAACAGCCTCTGAGTGAGAACACCAAGAATAAATTCACCTGTGCTAGAGAGCAGGTGCTACGTGAAAACTTCTCACTTGAGCACTACACGCTTGAGGTTAAGGTATCGCTGGCAAATCTCCAAAAGCTACATCATCAACTCATCAGAGACAGCCACCTCCACATTTGCAGTCTTTCCTTTACCTCTCAAACATCAGAACTGTAAAGACTCAAAGAACCCGTGAAGGATTCAAAACCCAATTCATGCATTCAATCAATGTACACATATTGAGCACCTGTGAGTCACCAGGCACTAGAGACTGGGAATATATACAGGAAAAAGATTGTCACTCTGATAGACAGAAGCATACCAATACATTCTTATTTACTACGCAAGGGTCCAAGCAACAAGCCCTCCTAGTGGCCCACATGTACCAAACAAGTCTCCCCACTTCTATACCTCAGATCAAGGTGTGCCCACCTGGAACATTCCTGCCACATTTCCTCTACCCAGACCCTTATATCCTTCAAGCCTGGTTTAACACCCTCCTCGTCCAGGCCCTGACCTCCATCCCACCCCAAGGTGATGTCTCCGTTCTCTGAGCTACCAACAATCACAGGAGTACCACTGCCAGTTTATTCAGAAATTGCTCACTCTCTGATATTCTCATTGAACAAATCCTGAGTAACTCGAGCCAATGTTGCTCTAGCTAGGAGCTGGAGAAACAGCCGCACACCGGGGCTGGGTTTTCCTTCCCTAAAGGAAATTCCTGGGGAGAGCTCTCTTCTTTGCACTGCTTTTAAAAATCGTTCTGAAACGATCTAGGTTGGTACTCAGTGCTCAATACCTAACAATCTGTTAGAGCCTTGGGCTTCTTTGGCCCAAGCTCGCTCAAATCGAAGTTACATAAACAGAGAACAAAAGCTAACGAAGCCACTTCTAAAACTTCCACTTCTTTAAAACCCTCAGAACAAGGAAGGAAAACAGGCAATGAAAGCGCTGCTGAACCAACACATTTCACTCACTCTGACAAAGCGTATCCAATCGTCCTCCCAAGCTACACAAAAGTGGTCTCTTCCCCTCAAGCCGTGAAGCCCCAGATTCAAATGTTTATCTTAAAAGATCTCGGGAAAGTTTAAAGCGCCAGTTTCGTAAACACGTCTTTCTAAACCTCTATTTCTTTATGAATAAGCCCCCGATGAACCCTGTATCTACCACTTAGACCAATGCAGCGAGGGTGACTACGACACTACAATTTGAGCTTCCACCACGAGAGGCTCAAAGACAAACTCTTCGAGGGTCATATATCTACAATTTGAGTATAAACAAAAGCCTAGTCTTGCAGAGCCTGGTGCAAGGTTCCACGGTCCTAAGAGAAGGAAATCAACAGAATTTCCTCCAGGGGAGCCGCGACACGGAGCAAGGCGTGGGAGTTTCTGCAAGAGGTGAGCGAGATTTTCTCTGTGTATTTGCTCTAAAGTGGCTTTTGTAAGAAACCACAGCCGGCACCCCATAGCGGGCGAGGGTGCAGCGAGGCTGTGCCATGCGGCGCGGTGCCACCTGGGCACTCCCACCATTCTCCGCCGCGGCCCGGGAGGCTGCACGAGCCCCGCGCGCAGTCGCCCCGGGCACCCCGCAAGCCCACGCGCCGAGCCTCGGCGCCCCGAGCTCTCCCGGGACCCCACCGACGGGCGGGGGCTAGGCTTCCAGGCGGGGCCGGGCCGCGCGCGCACCCACCTGAGCAAACTGGAGAGGGGGTGGCTGGAGGAGCCGAGGCCGCCGCTGCCCCCGGAGCTGCCGCCGCCGCCGCCCCCGGAGCCGCCGCCGCCGCCGAAGCCCGAGGAAAGCCGCTTCCCGGACAGCAGCTTCTCCACAGCCGGGAGGTGCCCGGTGCGGGCCGCCTCCAGCAGCTCCTGCTCTTTCCCCATCCCCAGCGCCGCCGCCCCCTGCACCCCCTCCCCGGGGCCGCAGCCGAGCCTGCTCTGGCTCCCAAACTTTCCGTCTCCGGGCAACGCACCCCCGAACCGGCCGGGGACACCACCCCCCTCCCCCCGCCTCCCCCCCTCGCGAGCGCGTCACTTCCGGGATCCGGCGTCACGCGTCACCGCGCCCCCTGCCCCGCCCCTCGCCCACCTAGTTGGGCGGGGCTCCGCGCAGCCGCGCACGTGCGCCTCGGGAGCCGGGGTCCGCGCCGCGTGCGTCCCCCATCGCAGAGGTGGAAGCGCCTACGGGCCCACCTGGGGCCTCCCCAAGCCCCGGGCTCAGGGCACTGGAAACACGGTAATGATCCAGGCGGTGAAGAAACAAAAAGACAAATCCGGTGACGCGCGCCTGCCTTTCCAAGTCCGCTTTTGCAGCGCGCATAAATGAAGTATTCTGTGCGGAGACCTAGTGATACAACGATGAGTAAAACGCCCTCCCTCCTCCCTCTACCTCAAAGGGAAAGAGGAAAAATTTAAAATAAAGTATCTAGCCACCCCATCCTCCCAGTCTGAACTGGTGACATTCAAAGGAGAGACCGTCTTTGTCCTCTTAGATTTGATGAGATTAACCAAATTGACATTTTTTAAAACAGGTTTTTAAGCCCCCCAAAAGCATGTTATTAAGTAAACGCTACGTTTGTTTTGTTCCCCGGTAACCACGTAGCACTGTTCCCGACAGGCAGCAGGCGGTCAGCTGTCGAGTGAATAAACTGGATCAGTTCTCCCCAAGCGATGATTCCAGCTAGGTGCTTGCGAAACGGAAGGGAAGTGCTAGTGTCCCGGACCAGCGGGCTCGGGAGTTAAACTATGCCAGGAGTGCCTGGCTGAGTTTCCTAGTCCAGGGTAGCCTCATTTCTCGATAATAGCACGCGACGGAACTGGCGTTCGCCGCATCCCGGACTACGCTGAGGGAGACGGATTAGGGAGGGGTTCACCGATTGTGTGTGTGTAGAACGGCGGGAAGGAAAAAAAGAACTTCAGTAAACAAAACTGTTTCATCACAAATGCTGGTTTCCTACAGCGGAAGATTCATACTGCCAACCTTTGCTCTCCCTGTTACCACAAAACCAGAACACAATTGGTTTGCACGCGCCTTTCGCTCTCTCAAGGCTTTCGCGCGCTTCAAAACGACCCCTCCGAGGACCTATAGGGGTGATGTCATCCGGGCGCGACAACGGGAAGTAACCTGCGGGCTTGCTGTGTAGCTCAGTCTGGAGCCCCTACGTTTGAGAGCGCTGCGATCTCCTCTTCGCTCCAGTCCTGGCTGCGATGGGCAGTGCTCGAGAGTCCCCCACCGACAAAGGTGGAGAGACAGGGGAGTCAGATGAGACGACCTCTGCTCCGGTGGTCCCAGGGACTTCAGACACAGACGCAGTCCCAGAGGAACCTGATGGAGACGGAGATGCGGACTTGAAAGAGGCGGTAGCAGAGGAAGGCGAGGTATAACGAGATGGAAGGAATACTCCAAGATTGTATGAGTGGCTGCTTGTGGAGTTTCCTGGGTTAGTCCTTCCCAGGATGGGAGAAGTCGAACTCACCCCGACTCACTGTGAACAGCGCACTATCGAGGGGTGAGGGAGAGGATGATAGGGCTGGTTCCGTTCCAGAGACCAAGCACTACGTGAAATTTTTAATCGTTGCCTTTACGAATTAAAGCTACTTTTTGTTTTGTCTTGCTCTGTTGTTTGTTTTGATTTTTTTTTTTTTTTTTGTACCGGGATCGAACTCAGGATCTTGGGCTTACCAGGCAGGCGCGGCTCCATTGAGCTACATCGCTGGCCCTGTTTTGATTTGATTTTTGAGACAGGGTCTCACTGTGTAATTTAGGCTGGCCTTGAACTCACTATGTAGCCCAGGCTGGCCTCGAACTCATGGCGATCCTCTTGCCGCCGCCTCTGGAATGCTGGGATTACAAGCATGTGCCACCATGCCCAGCTAGGAAATTTAAATATCCTCTTTTTCCGGGAGAGGGACTTGGAATTCGATATCACATGGAGACTGTAAGAACTAAAACCCAAAATTCCTAGCACTTTTCAACCACAGTATAGTTTCTCTTAGATGTTTCTTAAGCACAGCTTTTATTTTTAAAGGTGGCAGAGTTGATCAGATCTGATAAAGGGAAATTTCTGAAGTAATCACTGGTTAAATGATGTTTTTACCCTCTTGGAACGTTTAACTGCTAGCAGTGACCTGAGTGCTAATGCTCGAGAATCTCTGTAGAGGGTCCGGGATTTAGCTCAGTGGTGCTGCAGCCTGCCTCAAAAGCGCAAGGTCCTTAGTTCGATCCCGGGTACCAAAAAAAAAAAATCTCTGTAGCTTCAAAACCCCAAACCCATTAGTTGTGCCACCACAAGCACTCAGCTGTTTTGCCTAACTGAACATCACTCGGAGACCAGAATCTCTGTGTTCTCTGGGTTCCAGTTCCAGAGGTAGAATCTCAGAGTCTTGGAGCTAGAAAGGATTTAAGAGATCTTAGGATAAATATTAGATTAGATGGAAATGACCCTTCAGAGCATAAGGTTGCATCAAAATGTATAAAGTAAGAACTTTTAGAAAAAGAGAAGAAAAATAGGGCAAAACTTCTAAGAAAGAAACCTTAAGCTGGACGTAGTGGCTCACACCTGTAATCCCAGCACTCAGAGGCTGAAGCAGGAGGATCACGAGTTCAAGGCCAGCCTGGACTACATAGGGAGACCTTGTCTCAAAAAACTTTAAAAAAATTTTTTGAGTGATTAGCTTGGTTGACTAAGAGCGCTTGCTACATACAGAAACTTGCACCCAACAGAAGGTTGTGATGCTTCTAAAGCCCTGTTAAAAGTTGATCGTCGGGCCAGGGATTTAGCTCAGTGGTTTCACCGCCTGGTGGGCAAGCGCAAGGACCCGAGTTCGATTCCTGGTACCAAAAAATACAATAAAAAAGTTGGTTGTGTACCAAACCAGAAAGGAAAAAAAATGCGTAAAAGTGGAAATGGTGCAGGTCACATCCTGTTAGTACAGTGTAATAAGCCTGATAGTAACAACAAAAAGCTCCACCCCCCAAAAAGAAAATATTAACCACCAGACATTGTTAAACTGTTTCTAAAATAACCCTCATATTAAAGAAATTAACAACACTACATCAAATTGTAAGGGGTTTGACCAAAGTCTTATCTATTAAAACTTCATAGCCTCACAGAGTTTTGAAAATAATGACCCAACTCAGAAAACTGGACAGATAATGAACCAGAAGAGTGTAGGAACGAGGTGTTAATGAGGATAAAAGTAGATACAGACTTAACACTTTAGAAACAGGGACTGAAGAAACGAAACAGGGACTGAGGGTATGACTCAGTGGTAGAGCACAAGGCAAGGCCTTAGCACCAACCAAAAGAGAAAATGTAATGTTCAAGCTTACGCCAAATAGGTGTGAAAGGCTAAGAAAAATGGATGCTTTTTAAGGAAAATGTAAATCACCAAAATTAAAGCACAAAGAAGTTGGAAAACTAGTGCAGAAAAAAATTGAAAAGGTTGTTAAAGATATAATCTTTTCACTCCCATCTACCTCCCATATTCTTGAGAGTTTAAATTTGAGTTCCTCTAAGGGAGATTTAAGTCTCATTAATGAGCTTTGTTGTCTAAGATTCTATATGAAGCCAGAGAGGACGAAGTTTGGATGTGATTTTTGTTCTTATTAAAGAGACATTTATTAAACTGTTAGGGAGCAAGGCATGATGGGACACGTATGTAAAGCCAGCACTCGGGAGGCTGAGGCAGAAGGATCACTATGAGTTCCAGGCCAGCCTGAACCACATAGTAAGACCCTGTCTCAAAAAAAAAAAAGGGGGGGTTTTGAAGAGAGAAATAATAATAAACAAATCTGTCTTCAAAAAGTTTTCAGTTAAGTAACGGGTAATGTATATTTTCACAATACAGTATTTATTGAAGGGTAGGAAGAAAATGCTACACAGGAGACACTTGAAAATTCTAAATTGAAAGAAGTAATTTTTTAGTTTTTGTTTTGTGGTTTTGCAATGCTGGGTATCATACCCAGGGCCTCACACATTCTAGGCCAGCACTGTTCCACTGAGGTACATCCTCTCTCGTTTTGGGGGGGGTTTTTTGGTACCGGGGATCAAACTCAGGTCCTTGCACTTGCGCAGCAGGCAGTGAAACCACTGAGCTAAATCTCCAGCCCCATCCTTTCTTTTTAATATTCTTTCCATAAGGAATCAGCAGCAGCAAAGAGATCTCTATAGGTCTAAGGCTGGGGACTTAGCTGTGGTGCCACTGCCTGCCGCGCAAGCGCAAGGTCCTGAGTTCGATCTCTTCTACCCAAAAAAATTATATCTAGGGCCGGGGATTTAGCTCAGTGGTTCTGCTGCCTGCCTGGTAAGCTCAAGGACCTGAGTTCGATCCCTGGTACCAAAAACAGAACAAAAAAAAGAGATATATAGGTCTAAAGACACAGTGCTGGCTGATTTGTGAGAACTTTGCTGACATCCCCTCTAAAGAAAGAGGTTAGCCAGGTGTGGCACACCTGGAATCCCAGTACTCAGGAAGTGGCTAAGACAGGAGGATCACTGCAAGTTCAAGGCCAGCCTGGGCCACATACCAAGACCCTCTTTTTTTTTTTGGTACCAGGGATTGAACTCAGAACCCTGTGCTTGTGAGGCAGGAAGTGGCACCACTGAGCTAAATCCCCAGCCCTATTGACCTCTTTTTTTTTTTTTCTTATTTTAAGAGGAGGAGAAAGTAGAGTGGTTGTTTCGATCCTTGGCATTTCATTACTTTGTAAACAGATTCTGGAGCTCTGATCATAGCTAAATTGGAAAACTGGATTATTTAGCTAGTTTTCTTTCACAGGTGGGCTGTAATCTTTCCTTAGCAGATATCCTGTATCTTACACTTGATGGTACAGTCAGTGGCCTAGAACCAAAACACTACTCAATAAATGGATTTGTTGTGTTGTTATGAGAATTTCTTTTTGCCTTGCCCACACCTGAAAGTAGGCCAAATATATAACGTTTACTTTCAATTTTTCCCAGCTCAAGAGTCAAGATGTCTCAGATTTAACAGCAGGTGAAAAGGAGGACTCATTACTTGCTCCTGCAGCCAAAAAACTTAAAATAGATACCAAAGAAAAGAAAGAGAAAAAGCAGAAAGTGGATGAAGATGAGATACAGAAGATGCAGTAAGTCAGTTTCACTATGTGAAGGCTCTAACTTGACTACACAAATTTAATACATTTTCTCAGCCTTTACATTTTTTTTTTTTGAAACCCAAAAGAGATCTTTTGCTGGATATAGTATTTGTGCATATACTTTTTCAGATTTTTTGATATTTGATATGTGTAGCTATTTTCATGTCAGTAAATATGCTGACAAATCATTTTTAATGGTGCATTGTATCTCATTATATGGATGAACTTTAGCCATTTCCTGTAGCTACTCTGGTTGATTTTTTTTCTTTTGATAACACTGTGATGTATCTTAGCATATCTTTGCACACTCGCCCATTACACTCTTAAGATAAACTCCTAAAAGTATAATTGCTAGTTTAGACAGTATAAAATAGCCAGGTGTGGTGGTGCCTACCTGTAATCCCAGCACTCCGGGAGGCTGAGACAGGAGGATCACACGTTTGAGCCCAGCCTGTACAATTTAGTGACTTAGCAAAAAGTACAAAAGATTTTTGTACGTTTCCAAATTTTGAAAAATATTTTGTTTTGCTGGGGTTTAGTCTTGGCTTTTTGGTGATACTAGGCATTGAACCTAGGATCGTCACACGTTGTTTTTGAGACAATGTCTTGCTAAATTCCCAGGCTGGGCTCTAACTTGCCATCCTCCTGCCTCGGCCTCCCAGATTTCTGGGATTACAGGTGTGCATCACATACCCAGCTCAGGTTAACCTTTTAATTTCCTAAATTAATAGTGAAGGTTAATTTTTTTCTATTTATTGCCCATTGATATTTTTATAAATTTCCTGCTCATGTCCTGTATTCATTTCCTACAATTGATTGGGCCATCTTTTTTTTTTTTGGTACCGGGAATTGAACTCAGGACCTTGCACTTGCGAGGCAGGCATCGGCACCACTGAGCTAAATCCCCAGCCCGGCCATCTTTTTATTTGAAAGAATTAATTATATATTACAAGTATCATCTTTTATTTATTTTACAAATATCCCCCCATCTGTTAATGTTGAAAACTACTGCTTTGAATATAAATTTATATATTAAGCTTTTATCATCAATGTGAAATGCAGTAAGGTAGAGTTAGGGGGAGAAGGAGCCTAATGCTGAAGCCACAGTCTACTTGGTACCTTCAGCCTTCATTCTTCCTAGCTAACTTAATGGCCTGAATCTTTGTCTAGAATCCTAGTTTCTTCGTTTTCGGAGGAGCAGCTGAACCGCTATGAAATGTATCGCCGGTCAGCTTTCCCTAAGGCAGCCATTAAAAGGGTAAGGATGAGCTACCCTACTTCACTGTCCTGTGTCAGAGCTGAAGCAGACTGCCATCATCACCGAGTCTTTGTTTTTTTAAGCTGATCCAGTCCATCACCGGCACCTCTGTGTCGCAGAATGTCGTCATTGCCATGTCCGGTATTTCCAAGGTTTTTGTCGGCGAGGTGGTAGAAGAAGGTGAGTAATGTTGGTTCCTGTGATGGTCTTATTTTCAAGACTTATCTATAGCAAGGAACTTACTAAAGTGCCTGTGGGAGTTTCCATTTGCACTTGGGTAGCCTGGTACTCAGGAGAGCGTGACTATTATTTCTTAACAGTTTCAATACTGGTGGACAAGGAACTAACTATATAGCCAATCCCTCCCCAATACCTCTCCTTAGTCCAAGGTGAGAAAAAGATTTTGTGTGTTTCACTACCAGACCTTGCTTATTTCTGACAAGGATACAAGAAAAGCCATCACCAGAGCTAACCTGGTGTAGTATGGTGTATGATAGGTTGTCCCTGATATTGTCACCCCTGGAAACTGCCCCTGCCGCCATCCATTGACAGAAAGCGTGGCTGCTTCCCGTCACTAGTCTGTGAAATCCTGATTTGCTTAAGCAGATGTTTTACTGTTGCCTATGATAAAGCTCAAAATGGTATATTACTAACATGATACATTTTGCAGCACTCTCTTAAGAAGGGAAAATGTCTGTACTCCTTAGCAAGTTTTAAGAGTGAATAAGAATTAAAAGATGCAGAAAGATTATGTGCTTAGTAAGTTTTTACGTGATAATGACTTTCCATTCCCTCTGCTTAGCACTGGATGTGTGTGAGAAATGGGGAGAGACGCCACCACTGCAGCCCAAACATATGAGGGAGGCTGTTCGGAGGCTAAAGTCAAAGGGGCAGATCCCCAACTCGAAGCACAAAAAAATCACCTTCTTCTAGACCAAAGCCCCAAAAGGCCTGTGACTGACAAGGAATTCTGGTTCCCGGCTCCCTGTGCCAATGAACACCAGGGCACCAGTGCTTCAGTGTCCAGTCCTCAGTCCTCCAGGGGTTCCATGATGGTTTTAATGCCACGCCTAGAAGGCATGCAGCCTGTTTCACTCTTGCCTTGACTAAATTCTGGGACTCGTAGGCCATTTTGAGATATTCAGGTGTCTCCAGCTAGCTGAAGGAAGAAAGGGGCATGGACCTTCAGGAGCTTCTGGGTAGGGGAGCTGCTTCAGAGGGAAAACCTTTCCAAGAGAACTTTCACACTGAAGCCTAAAGCACCAAGACTTAGATTGTTTCTTGCATCTGGTTTTAAGTAGATGAAACCACCAGAAACGTCTGACTCGTGGCACTGTCATAAAGGATGCAGCGACAACAGGAGTACTGGAATAACTTGTGCTTGCTAACATTTAAGATGCTTCTGTGGATTTTAGTGACTGATCGTCAGACTTTTCCAACTTGTAATCATTGTGTGTCTAGCTGGTTGGAATGGGGAGAATTTCATTGTTCTTTTTTGGTGTCCAAATAAAACTAGCTCTGGCTTTTTTGTAAAAATTTACGAGCCCTTCCCATTTTCTACTGGAATCATCAAAATTTTTACTCAGGAAAGCGCAATTCAAACACTTTAAAACCACAGAAATGCCCATATATTTCTGACTCCTTTAAACAGATATACCACAACCAATGCTGTTTAATAAGTTTAATTTGTTTTTCAATGGTTCACAGAACCAGTACACTCAAGGCTGGATTCAATATTGCAACACTGAAATTTCCCAATACTGACCAGGATTCCAGTTCATCACATTCTCAGTGCTGTCCTCACACAAAGGAGAATGGAGTGACCTTTTATTGACAGTGGTTAGCAGTAATAAGGCTACTATATATCATTGCAATCCCCCAGAAACCTACTGTTCAGTGTCACACAGAGAAGGGTTCTGAGGTTGTTCTCTTTCGAAGCTTTCCTTGAGCAGGTCTTGGTAAAGATTCCAATTCTGTTTAGCACCCTGAGTGGGGGAAACATCTTAGACTTATCAAGCTGGACAGATCTGACTTTTAGTATCTTACATTAAAACTCAAGGCTGTAAGTAAAAGGCTGTAAGGAAAAGACACTTTAGTGGAGCATTCCACAAAGAAATGCTAGAAGACAGCTAAATCTTGACCAAAACCTAACTGACAAAAAGATACTCTCTCAGTTTTAACAGGAAATTTTTTTAAACAGTTGTAGAAACTACACCTATTCCATTTGAAGGTACTAGATAATGCTGAAATAACAAAGGAGGGAGATCTGGCCACTTAGCAAGGCCTTGCTGTTAAAGGTTATGCAAGAACGCTTCCCCCTTGTGCCACGGGGAACAAAATACCCATTCAATAATAGTGCCCATGCACACCTACCCAGAGATGAATGAAACATTCCCATAGTGCATGGCCGCAGGTCCTCTGACAGGATAGTGGTAAGTTACAAGGCCAACACAGCCTTCTCAGTTCTCAGTCACACTGTCATTGTACCAGCTTGTGTAATAAAGCTCACACGTTTTCAGAGTTTTGTGATTTTTGACTGTTAACGATTTTAATAGTTTCGGTGAATATTAAAATGGAGGGGCAGGGCTGTGCAATGGAATGGAAAGTTCCCACACGGCAGTGTGTGCGTCCAACTACAGTACCTTCTTCCCACCACCCTCTGTCTCCCCCTAGGGGGAAACGCATGTAAAGGCCAAATGGAAGCCCTGAAGTGGTGGAGCCTGTGAGAGGTGGTGTTCAGTCCCTTGTACCTTCCATACACAGGAACCATTCTTTCAGGACCATGCAGGAGGCAGCATAAAGGCTGAGGCCATAGCAAAAGGAGGGCCAGGTGAAACAGTAAAAAGCAGCCTCGTGTGACTAGAACCCACTCCTGTCTTGGAGAAACGAGGTTAATTATTCCAGTGAGTTGAAAACAGAATTAGGATTTAAACTCTAATCCATCCACACCAAAGCATATCCCTACCGCACCCATATAAACAGGAAATGTAGACAATCACTGATAATGTGCAGTCGTAAATGTTGCACAGCTGAAATGTGTGCAGCGGCTGGAGTCGGGGCAGAGGTGCTACCACTCCAGGCACTTTTGGAGGTATTGTTACCTCTTGTTCAGTCTTGGCACCATTTTCCTTTACCTTTATCCTGAAGACTACTACCAGTTCACATCTATTCATTACTAAAAGTCTCGTCCCCTAGTGATAGGAGTATGACAATATACAGGATGATTTCACTAAAACCCTGCAGAATAATGAACCCTACATCCTACCACATTTTCTGATAGAGGATTTCAAGACTTAACAGCCAGAGCCGCCACATAAGGAAATTCCAAGGCTCCATTTGATGCATGGACAAGAACTGAACTCCCTCAGCCTGGAGCCCTGAGAGTGTGGCCTTATGGTGGATTCTTCTAGAATACAGGGTCAGCCTTGGTACCTGCTGGTGTGTTTCTACTGTAGGCTTACGGTAAAGGTAAGACAAGCAAGGCTACTAGAATTTTCGTTGCCTGGAGGAATGCCAGAGGGATATGGTAGGTGGGGGAGGAAGGGAAGAGAATACAAATGTGATTTGTAGACAATTCAGGTTAGTCTGAGGTTAAATAATTCTATTTCCACTCCCACTTCCTGGCTCCACTCCTCCCAAGAATATCAGCCATGCCCTACTTGAGCAGACTAGTGAGCCACCCAGTTCAACATTCAGCCTGTAAAAGAAGCACTAGGGGATATAGTCTGTGGAGGGACCAGCCACTCTCTGTTGCATGTCACCAAGAAGGCCCAGGCTGGGCCCCTCTTAAACCTTCTGCAGTCATGTATTGGTTAGGCTGGCACCACTACTTGCACTAAAAGCTTTTTAGTTTCTAATTTGTTACAAGTGTTTTCTTTTACCCAAGGCAGGGAGGTAGAGCCCTAGAGTTAGCAGTATTTCAGTACTGTCCTTGCTCTTGACTGGATACAAGCTTGAATACTCCCCACAAGCTGTCATCTTTGAAGTACACAGTTTGCATGCTAAAGACGTGCCCTTATCTGGAAGCACCTCCATTGCCTCGGAATTTTTGCTGTTCTCTGGACATTTCCTCCCTTCTGTGTATAGTTGATAAATGAGGTCACTAAAAATGCACAATTTGATTAAAATGTAACTATGGCCAGGCACAGTGGTGCACACTTGCAATCCCAGCTACCTGGGAGGCTGAGGGAGGAGGATCTAAGTTTGAGGCCAGCCTGGGCAACTTAGCAATACCCAGTCTCAAAATAAAAAATAAAAGAAAGGCTGGGGATGTAGCTCAGTGCAAAAGCCCTAGGTTCAATCCCTAACACCACAAAACAAACAAAGAACAAAAATCTTAAAGGCCTGGGGTTATAGCTCAATGGCAGAGCACTTGCTTAGCAAGCACAAGGGTCTGGGTTTAATCCCCAGTACCACAAAATAAACAAACATTTAAAAGGCTGAGGGTATAGCTCTATGGTAGAGCACTTGCCTAGCATGTTCAAGGCCCTGGGTTCAATCTCCAACACAACAAAAAAAAAGTCTTTGCCATAGTGTCGCATAAGGTGCTGTCCCTGGCGTCCCAGTGATGCGGAGAAGGCAGCTCGGCTTTGGGCCATAACAGCACCCTGACCCATCTGCCCTCCCAGTGGCGGTATAGTTTCCTTCCTGAGTTCTAACAAATCTCACTGCCATATCAGCTGATCGTTCTTCCATAAACAAACTGCGGTACACATGGTGATACTGAACACCTAATCATTTTTCTGAATAGTCACAGCCTCGCTTGTGACCTTTTCTGTGACTTTGTGTTTTCTACAAAATCTCTTCTGGGGGCCGGGGATTTAGCTCAGTGGTTACGTCAACCTCCTTGCAAGTGCAAGCACTGGAGTTCAATCCCTGGTACCAAAAAGAAAAAAAAAAGTAAAAAATCTCTTCTGATCTACCTTCCATTGCCTAGAAATAGAAACAGTTTATTTCATTGTAAAAGCTGACATTCAGGTCACTAATAAAAATCCTACAGAAGGTTGAACTGAGTATCAAACCTTAAGAAATGTTCTCTGTTAAGAGTTTTTCCAGAAAGATGTTTCTGTATTTCTAAGTCTCTAATTTGTTTCCCAAGAAGGACAAATTCCCACAGTAACTGCTGTTTAAAAATTTGCCTTAGTGAAGAAACCTGACAACGTGCTTGCTTCGGCAGCACATATACTAAAAAAGAAACCTGACAAGAGTCCTTTAAGAATCTGAATGAGCCGGGGATTTAGCTCAGTGGTTCTGCTGCCTGCCTCACAAGTGCAAGGACCTGAGTTTGATCCCCGGTACCAAAAGAAAAAAAAAAAAAAGAGTCTGAATGAATTAGATCTTGTTCCTTTAAGAATCCATGTTTCTTTTTATCCTCAAAAAATAAGAGTATGGCCAGGGATTTAGCTCAGTGGTTCCACTGCCTGCTTTGCAAGTGCAAGGTCCCAAGTTCGATCCCTGGCACACACAAAAAAATGAGAGTATACAGGTCAGGCATGATTCCCCATCAAAAAGCCCATTGCACCTCTCCTTCATTAGGTCACAGATGATGAAAGGACTTCCGCAGTGTCACTAGCTCACGGCCCGCCACCTTGCCAAGTCAAGGCCAGTCGGCTGATGAACTGCCCAACCAGCACAGCTCCAAGCGCACTACAAAGCAGTACAGACGAAGGCAGTTTCGGAGAGTTAAGAAAGAAATGGGAGAAACAGCACTTTTATAGGGCAGAGGGGCAAACCTATATGGGTTGAAGGGTTTTTGTTTTACTTTTGCTTTTTTCTTAAGTTAAAATTATGTGATTTTTAAAAGCCACAGTATTAGTGGGGAGTGAGAGGCAACCGGGCAAGATCTAGATATTCAAGTGTAAGGAATACGTATTCAGCTGCTAGGCACCACGCACTGAGGTGAGGACTGGCAGGAAGTCCCAGTGCTGGGAAACCAGAGGGGCAGGGACCCCAGGGAGGCCGAGGAAGCAACCTCAACCTACCTCTCAGGGGGCTCAGAACCAAGGTCCCCTAAACCAGTCCCCTACCACATCATCCTGCACCCTAGCTCAGAGCAAATATTTCTTCATTTTAATTCCAAATCGAGTGTGTCACAGAGAGGAAAGATGACATGGCTGATTCAAAACTGCTGTTTACTTCCTGTCACAGCATTACCATGATGAAATTCCAACTGAAAGGAGGCTCAACCCTGACTGAGCTGATGGCAGCATCAGGAAGGTTACATGAGCCTGGCTCCCGTCCTGAGGCTCCGTTATGCGTGCGTGTGCCCCTCATGAACCTGCCCTTGCTAGGCTACTTCCTGCCCTAATCCATTAGCAAGGTTGGCTTGGCTCAGCCCAAGACCTCCTCGGTTCTGCTCAGGAAGCTCTGCGACATGGAGTTTCTGGAGGCTCTTGGTGCCTGAGGAGGTGGGGACTGTGCCTTGTTTACAGAGGCTGTGAAGGAAGCAAATATCTCTGCCATGAAACCAGGAGGTGAAATGGCCCTATGAAGCGGAGAAGATCCCCCTCGACCCAACACACAGGACCAAAGGGCTTTATAAGGCCTGACACGCTGCTTGAGCCATGAAAGAAGCTACCCGCACTTTCCTAGGATGTAGCCATGCTCTGCCTTGTCCTCCATCTGAGTCAGAACAGCCAGCAGGAAGTGCACCCCAGGTCCTCGGCCTCCTTGGTGGACAAGTCCGCACCGGACGGTGCCTCCTGTCCTGACTGGTGCTGCTGCTAGTGATCTCTTCTCTCCTTGGCACAGACAGCTGAGCCACTGCTATCAGAGCTCAAAGAGGGGGTTATATTTCCTAATCTCCTGGAGAAGTTTTTCTTTTTCCTGATTGGCATTGGCCAATGCTTGCTTAGTTTCTATAAGTTCTTTTTGTAGGGCAGGCAGTTCTTTCACCTGAGGAACAAGGAGTTCACAGTTAATGAACATGGCAATGCCATCTCACAAGGACGGCCAGCAAGGGGAATGGGTGGAAGAATTCAGCAGAAAAACGCACAGGTTAGGTCAATGAGCAAGACAACTGAAATGGACCTTTCCCAAGAGCCTAACTCCCTTGGGGCTGAGTGGTCACAGGGACAGCACAGGGCGGCAGCCATCACCTCTAGTTCCAGCTCACCCCCTCCGTCAGGACATCCAGAAGCTGCTGCCAGAGGACAGGAGCCCAAACCACCCAGGTACGCACAACACAGGCAACCTTTGCAGCCCTCTGGCTTTTACCAGCATCCATAATCGCAGCCCCTAAGGGTTTAGGGGAAGTCACTATGAAGCTAGGTCCTCACCTGCTGTCCAGAAACCTCTCCAGTGGGTGCCAGAAACAGCTGTCCTTGGGGGGGCTGCCTCTTCTCACTTTTAGGTACTTCCGCGGATGGTCTGTCCTGAGCAGCAGCTGGAGGAAAAGTGTAAAGGCACTAAGTGACAAACTGCTGCCAACAGCCACACGGTTCCTACTTGTCACCTACTCACGTATATGAAGAAAAGGGGCAAGGGGCCGACAGGTCCAACTCACCACTGATGTGGAAGACACCATCATCACTGCGCTTCAGCACAATGTGTTCCATGGCCAGAGTGATGGGCACAGGGCCTGGGGACGTTGGATAGATGGGGGGGATGTCATCCTGCAGGAAACAGGAAAGCTGTGTCAAGCCCCAGCCAACTCAGGGCCATCTAGGTAACAACCAGGCTTCCACTATCCAGCTGGAAGCAGTTTTATGCCATTGGTTCCCCACACATTCTTGGACTCTAGAGATGACAAAACTGAAAGATCAAATAATGCATGCCAAAGACAGGGTTAGAGACATGGTCCTGGCTCCTAAACACACTTTATACAGCACTGCCACACAGATACTATTATGCACGTCCTCACTTCCTCCTCGCTGCATTGTACATTGAGGGAAGAATTCCTTACTTGACAAAGTCCAGTGCCAAAACCATAGATTCCTCTCACCTTTAGGGTGACACTGGAGTTCAGGAGCTCAATCTGCATGGGGACAACCACTGGAATTTCCTCATCCTCCAAGAAGGGGCCCAGGCCATTGAGCACTGAAGTGAGCAGCTCAAGGTCACAGCCATGAAGCACAAAATGCAGGAAACCATTTTGTGTGGCCAGAGGAGAACGAACAGCTGCGCCAGGCCCCACCTCAAAGCGAAGGCCCACAGCTGGCCGGATATGGTCAGTCTGCACTTTTGAGCGTTCTTGTAGGCTCGTACCTTTGAGAAGAAAGACAAGTCAAGTAATTAACACAGGGAAAATTCTAAGCGCTTATCATGGCTTCAATATTCATAACAAACCTCTGCCAAATGCACTACATCATTCCCATATTATAGATGAACAGTCACCGAGAGTCACTTGCCCCAAGTCACACAATTAGTAAGATCTTAAACCCAGGCGGTCTGACTGCAAAGTCCATGGGCCTAGCTACTTTGTCATAATGCCTCTCAAGGTTCGAGAGAAGGGAACAAGCAACTAAAAGTTGGCCTTACTATGAACTTAAGGCACTGGACTAATGGCCTGAGGAAAGCTCTTGCAGCACAGGACCCTCAACACCACTAAATTTGAATGTTTCTGCCTTTCCTTAAGTCTTGGTCTTCTCATCTCTCACTGATGAAACCAAGCAGGATCTAAGCTGCTCTCCCCAAAAGTCCACAAAGAACAATCTTAGGTTTACTCAAGAAAATGGAACGATTTGCATATCTATGGACCTGCAGATTGTACATCATTTTAGTGAACGTTTTCGCATTATCTAGTAAAGTTGAAGCTGCACCTACGCTAATGAACTAGAAATATATCCTCAGCAATATAACCCTGGAGAAACTCTTGGAACAGGAGACATGTACAAGCGTGTTCACAGCAACCCTAGTTGAAATAGCAAAAAACCCTGCAAACAACCCAAATATCTTTTCAGAACAAGCTAAAGAAATAGTTAGGATAACGGCTACAGGGATATTTGGGGCGTGATGGAAATGGTCTAAAATCAGGTTGTGATGATCATAGATAATAAGCTCACAGCATACCTAGGCAGTGAAGATGTGGATGAGACCGGTGAACACACACCCCATAAAGAGCTCTGGGAGGCTCCTTGCAAGAAAGTGGTTTTACTAGAGTTCTTCCTCCTCTTACCAGCTGCTGAAGAAAAAGGCCAAGGGCGTGGCACTAGAGCAGCTGCCCACAGAACACAGATGCCAGTGACTCTGGATGCTCTAGGTAACTCCCGCCAGCCCTCTGGAGTGGCCACCACCCTTACCAGGGCACTGTCCATGCAGGAACTTCCAGAGTCCCACGGTGCCCAGCTGCTGCAGGGCCAGTTCTTCCGCTTGCAAGGCTACCGTCAGGTCCTCACCTCGTACCTCAATCCCAAAAGTCACCTCGTTCACCTTCAGGACCAGAACTGAGACCTGTTGGAGTGGAGTCTCTCAGCCCAGAGTACCAGGTTTCCAGCCCACAGCCCACCCTCCTCGGGGGGGAAAGTGCAGCAGCTGACCGAGTGCCGGATGAGGTCCTCCCCACTGGGTGAAGCCGAGCTGTTGGCCTCTGGGGACACATGGCCACAGTTATCCACAACAGGGGTCCCCTGAACACGGGCATCATCCAAGACAGTCGGAAGAGAGCCCAGTGGAACCGATTCTAGTCCAGATTCTACATAAGAAAAATAACTAAAGACGTCAAAAGTCAAAAAAGTTTGTTTAAACCCAACCTCTAATAATATTAATTGTAAAAGCAAAACAAAACACTTAGGACATCTATGAGAATTGGAAATTTTAAATTAACTAGATACTTGAAAATTTTAAGAAATTATTAATTTTTAAAAGCAAGATAATGATATTGTGCCACATTTAATATAATCTACACATGGACACAACCCAAATTCCCACTGATGGATGGATAAATAAAATATGGTACACCCATGCAACAGAATAATATTTAGCTTTTATTTTGTTGTTTTGTTTTGAGAAAAGGTCTTGGTATATATAGTTCAGACTGGCCTTGAACTCACATGTAACTCAGGCAGGCCAGTGATCCTCCTGCCTCAGCCTCCCGAAGGCTGGGATTACAGGCATGCACCACCATATTCAATGATATTTAGCTCTTAAAAGGAAGGAAATTCTGACACATGCTACAACAAAGAGAGCACTGAGGACACTATATTAATTAGAATAAACTGGTTACAAAAGGACAAAATTATATAATTCCACTAACATGAGTTAAACATCAAATTTATGGACAGCACAGAGTTTCAGTCTTTCCAGTGTCCTGGAAACAGACGGGGCTGATGAGTGCAATGAGAATGTATCTGACTCTACTGAACGGTATGCTGAAAAATGGCCGAGAGAGAAAATTTTATGTGGATTTTACCACAATCTTTAAAAAGTTTTTAATTCTGTATTTTATCAATGCATAACTGAAGATATGGATAAAATGATGTTGGGGATTTGCTTTATTTAAAATAATACAAGATGGAGGGAAGTAAAGTAGGCAGCAATGCATATGGAATAAGAATGGCCAAGGGCCCGGGATTTAGCTCAGTGGTTCCGTCGCCTGCCTCGCAACCGCAAGGTCCCGAGTTCAATCCCCGGTACCAAAAAAAAAAAAGAAAGGAATAAGAATGGCCATGAGTTCTTAATGTTGAAGGCTGGAGATGAGTGCTCATAATTTGATTCTGTCTATCTTACACATGGTTAAATGTCTCCAAAGTTAAAAGTAACAAAGACAAACAAGGTGCACCCCCCAGCTTAAGAAACAGTACATTCTCTCACAAACCCCGGTTGGTGTCACCGCATGCTTGTCAGAAGGGACATTATCAAACAGATGAAGAGTCCAAGTGTTGTCAAGGATGAGGGAACCAGGACCCAGGACATCCTGGGAGGTGTAAATCAGCGCACACCTAAGATTTGAGATCAAAAGGTTGAAAAGCTGTCTGAATCCCCATGTTTATTAGAGCATTATTCACAATAGCCAAGTTAAGAAATCAACCTACATGTGTCTCTCAACCAGTGAATGGATAATGTGTGCACAATGGAATATCATCCACCCTTTAAAAGGAAGTTAGTCCTGTCATTGAAAACAATACAGATGAGCCAGGGGTGGTGGCACATGCCTATGGCAGGAGGATCAAAGTGAGTTCAAGGCCAGCCTGGACTACACAGTGAGTTCAATGCCATCTTGGACTACGTAGTGACCCTGTCTCAAAAATAACCAATACGGATGAATCTGAAGGACATCATGCTAAATGAAACCACCAGGCATGGACAGGCAACGACCACATGTTCACTCTTACATGTAGAATCTAAAACAATCAAACACACAGAAGCGAAAAGCAGAATGAAAGCACCAGAGGCTGGGAGTGGAAGGAATGGAGTGACGTAGGTCACGGTGTAATGTTCAGTTAGGCAGGAGGAATAAATGGTTCAGACTTGAGGTAAGCAATATGTTAATTAGCGCAATACAAAAAGTCCACATTGTATACATCATAGCATCACTTTATACCTAGAAACACATTCAACTACAATTTGTCAATGTCTACTAAAAATAAAAACGAGAAATACTGCATTCTCTATTCAGATACTCTGAAGAGATCATTTAAAATGATATTTCAAGAAGGTAAAAGAACTAGTATAACTCCCAGAAGTGACTATTTAATTTCTAAAAGTTACTCATTTTTTCAACAGACAAAACAGTCATTATTTTTCAACAATACAATATATAAGCAGAAAGAGAGAGAGAAACCCAGACAACAAACACTCACACCACTGATATCAAATACACCATAAAACTAATCCTATTGACATCAATTTGTGGCATAAGATCAGTAATTTTTCCTTTGGTTTTAATCTCTTTCTGTGATACAGGTCAACTATTAACCAATAACCTAGAAAATGTGGAGATTAGCCAGAGCCATTGATCTACTACGTTTTCTCTTTATCATTTCTATTTTGGTAAGAAAATGTCTAGCTGAGCATGCTGGTGCAGGGCTACAACCCCAGTACTCTGGAGGCTGAGGCAGGAGGATCACACATTCAAGCCCAGCCTGTGCAACTCAGTGAGATCCTGTCTCAAAAAAAATTGTTTTTTAAAGGGGCTGGGAATGTAGCTCAGTGTAAAGGCCCTGGGTTCAATCTCCAGTACTTAAAAAAAAAACCACTATATTACCACACCTCAGTCCTGCTTAAGTCTTGCTAGTTTGAATACCAGCAGCAGAGAGAAGCCCGTCTGGACTTCTTCAGCTCTGCTCTCACATACCAGAGTCCAAGAGCATCACGAGGCTATCACTGCCGTCACTGTCCACTGATATCCGGTCTTCAGGGCCACTGCTATCCAACACAACACCATCAAATGACTGCTGAGACACTGTCCTCTTCATGGAGAAAAATCGGAGTCGGGCAGCTCCTCCACTTATTGAGGTTGCCACCCCCTCATCTGTCCTGGCCAAGGGCTCCCTGTTTTTAAACATAACAACAAAAACCACCAATGTGGCTGGGAAGGGGTATTTGTTCCCACCCCCAGCCCCCCACGCTCCCCCTCCGACAGTTAACATGAACGTAAACTTGGTGCCACCAGTTACCTGCTATCAAAGGTGAAGTTATTTTCAACCTCTGGCCTTTCTGAATTCTTATTAGAGTATTTTTAGCTGTGTGCTGTGTCAACAGCTCAATCAACACCAAATGGCAAAGTTACCTGGGGTCAGTGAGACACAAAAGCCACACACTCCCCACACCCTGGTGCAGGGTCAGCCCGAGCCCACCTGCGGTCCCTGCACAAGTCCTGACTGCAGAGCTCTTGTATGCAGGCACCTGGCAGACTGCAGGGCAGATACACTGAGCATAAGACAGCCTCTGTCCTCAAAGAACTTATAATCTGTGGGACACAGAAGACTGATTCCTATAAAACATTACATGGGAGTAAGTCACACATCCTGTCAAAGTGGGACAATGGCACAAGCCAAAGGCCAGACTGTATGAGAGGAGGGGGATGAGAAGGGGATTGAGAATTGCCGTGTGAGCCAGGCATCGGGGCATACACCTTTAACCCCAGCTACGCAGGAAGCTGAGGCAGGAGGATAACAAGTTCTAGGTAAGCCTGGGCTTAATAGTGAGACTCTGATTCAAAGTAAAATAAAGGAGCTGGGGATATAGTTCAATACTCTCTGGGTTCAATCCCCAGTACTAAAAAAGAAAAAAGGAATGGTTTGTGGAAAGAGATGGCATTTGAGTTCTCGAAGGACTATGAAAGAGAGAAAAGACATTCAACAGGGAAAAACAGCATAAATAAAGGCACAAATCCAGAAACACAATGAGACTCCTGACTCGCTCAGCCCAGGTGGCAAGGCCATGTCGGACGGGGGCTGGAGTGTAGCTCAGTGCTGGAGTCCTGGCCTAGCATCTCAGGGCTCTGGGTTCCACCCCAGCACTGGTACACACGCACAAATCCAACCAGGGCTGGGGGTTACAAGGTAAAAGCCTGAGGTTTTGGGGTAGGGAAATTACAAGACCAGGCCTGTGTTTTACAAAGCCTGGCCTGGACTTTTCAATGCAGATATCAATGATTTACTACAAAAGCCCCAGGTGGGAATAAAGAGCAAACAGCGATGAGAGATTCCCCAGAGCTGGGGGAGCACAGCACCCACAGCGAAGTTTACGAGTGCAAAGCCTCAGCCCACCTCACGCCTACTGAAAGAGAACTCCACGGACAGGACCTTGCAACCCTGCTTTGTTTTTTTCAGCACTGGGGATTTTTTTTGGACAAGGTCTTGCCAAATTGCCAGGCTGGCCTCAAACTCAATCCATTCATCGCAGCTGGGATTACAGGCACGTGCCACCCCACACCAGCTAACAACCCGTGTTTTCACAACCCCTCCACGTGATTCTAAAACACACTGAAATCTGAAAACCACTGAGGTAGGAAGGATGGTCAGAACGTAACCAGTGAGCATGAGAGGCAAAGGGCTAAAATGTCCAGGTGGGTGAGTCAGCGACCGCGATTATCAAGAGAAGAAAGACTGGTCTGGGGAGGGACAAGAGAGATCCCTGTGGAGCTGTGGCTAGCAGACAGTTTCAAGTGAAGGGCAGAGGAGGGAGGTCACTCAGGAGTGAGAACACAGGCCGAAGTGGAGGGAAAGGGATGAAGAAAACAACTTAGTATTCAGAGCACAGATTGATACAAACCTGAAAGCTTAGCAGATACATCAAAAGCCTTAAAATGTTGGTAGCATCTGACTCAATCGTTTCACTTCTAGGTTTATATTCGAAAGAAAGATTTTAGATGCGTACAATGTGCACGGAGTAATAGTCACAAAAATAAGGCCATTTAACAATGACAATGGATGAATAAATTATAATGCATCCACTTGCTAGAGGATAATAAGGCAATTAAAAATTAGCTATTCAAACATCTAATGAAGGAAAGATATTCACAAAAAACATGAAATGAAAAAAAGTGTGCAGCTGGGCATGGCGGATCACGCCTGTAATCCCAGCACTTGGGAGGCAGAGGCAGGAGGATTGCTGTAAGCTCGAGGCCAGCCTGGGCTACACAGTGAGTTCAAGGCCACCCTGAACTACAAAGGAAGACCCAGTCTCAAAAAACCAAAAAAAAAAAGTGTGCAATAGTATAGGAATGATATAATCCTACTGTTGTAAGAACAGTACCTATGAGTATTATATGCATAAACACAAGTGTTCACATGGACACAGAATACAGATATAAAAAAGTAAGAACAAGGGAAGAAAGTTGGAAAAGAGGCTAAGGATGTAGTTCAGTGATTAAGAGCTCACCTAACATTCACAAGACCTGGGTTCAATTCCCAGCACTCAGGAGGCTTAGGAAGGTGGATACCTGGGAGTTCAACGCCAGCCTGGGCTACACAGTGAGTGCAAAGCCAGCCTGAATTACAGTGAGACTCTGTCTCAAAAAAGAAAAAAAAATTGGAAGAAAACTCAAATGTAAGTAATACTGGCTATCTCTACTTTGGGGTTTTTTTTGTTGTTTTTTTGGTTTTTTTGCAATCTTGTGCATTAGACCCAGGGCCTTGTACAGGATAGGCAAGCACTAAATCACCAAGCAACATTCCCCAATTCTTTTAAAATTTTATTTTGAGTCAGGGTCTCACTAAGTTGCCCAGACTGCCCTCAAACTTTTAATCCTTCCGCCTCAGTTTTCCAAGTAGCTGAAATTACAGGCATGAGCTACCACTCCTGGCTTCCTTCTTCATTCTTCTGATCTCCTACACTGTCAACACAATGAGCACAAATCATTCTTATAATTTAAAAAAACAAAAATTATGACTCAGGTGATCCAACTTTGGACAGCCTAGGGAATATTTACATTTTTAAAACAAAAGGGAGAAGACAGCAGCCAAAGACAAAAAGAAGACTCCTTTAGGGAAGTGAGAGAAACCGGGCAAGGTTACAACTGCTCTGAATGAACTCACCGGCAATGCTAACTGCCACCAAGGAGCCCAGGAAAAGTTGGGCTGAGAAAAGGCCATCTGTTTGGGCAGTTAAGAAATCATTATGTTTCAAAAGTTACAGCACTCTGTGAGGCTGAGGCAGGAGATCACAAGTTTGAGCCCAGCCTGGGCAATTTAGCAACTGAATGAGATCCTGTTTCAAATTTTAAAATAAAAAAGGGGGCTGGGGGCCTGGGGATTTAGCTCAGTGGTTCTGCCACCTGCCTCACAAGCAGAAGGACCTGAGTTCGATCCCCAGTACCAAAAGAAAGGGGGGGGGGGCTGGGGATGTAATTCAATGTGAATGCCCTGGGTTCAATCCCCAGTACCATTAAAAAATAGGGCCGGGGATTTAGCTCAGTGGTTCTGGCGCCTGCCTCACAAGCACAAGGTTCCGAGTTCAATCCCCGGTACCAATAAATAAATAAATAAGCTTTCATCACACGTCTTTCTTTTCTCCTCTCCACCTCTTCTCTCCCACCTTCCTTAATTGTGTCCACTTAGAAAAGGCAGCACATTCAGCGATTAGGAGCCTGCCTTTCACTCCTCGCCCCTTTGCTCACAAGATGTGTGAGCCTGAGCAAGTTTCTTACCTCCCCGAGCCTAGTTTCCTCATCCGAAACATGGTGCGTGACATCAGCGCCTGCCTGTCTTACAGGACAGGTACAGGAATCCAGAGAATTACTACTATCTTTAGGACGCTGTCTGACACACAAAAAGCCCCAATCCAGAGTTATTACAGCACTCATTTCAAAGCTTTCTTCATTTCTTCCTCCGTGACCCTCTGTCCTAGCAGGTACTAGACACAGGCATTGCTTACAGACTCTCTTAATGTAATTCACTTAGAAAAGAACTGTAATGTCACTGAGTTACTTTCCTCTTTGCTGAGACGAAATACCCAATACCCAAAGTTGGCTCGAAGTTCCTAGAGATTTCAGACCATAGTCAGCGGGCTCCAGGGCAGAATGGCATGGCAGAGGGGCATCAAAGAGGAGAAATACTCCACGGCAAAAAGGTAGGCAAACACATTAGCCCTCTTTCTGTCCCTTATATTTTATGCAGGCTACTGCCCTAGGGCAGCGACAGCACTGACACCCTTAATCCTAGCAGGAACTATGCCACACCAATCAATGGACTGATTCAGTAATCATCCCCCTGATCCCAATACCACACACTCTATTTCCAGCCACCTCTGAAAAGCACCCCATGACTGCATGAGGCTTTGGGGGGACATTGAGACACAGCCATAACAGTCCCTGATCTTCATGCCATGGTCTGTAAACCACCAAGTGTCCCAGCAAAGATTTCCTTTAGTCTTCATTACCTTGCCTAAAGCCACAAGAAAATCCCAACTCTTCCACTCTCCTGACTATGCATTTCTGTGTTTAACACAGAGCCTATAACAGTGGTGGCGAACCAACAGCACATGGGCTGCAGTCAGCTGTTTGCTACCATTGAAAGCTCTAAAAGATTTGCCATCACTGGCCTAGACCATGCTTAAGAGCTCAAAAAAACTGTTGTGGGCTGGGAGTGAAGCTGAGTAATGGAGCGCTTGCCTAGCACAGCACAACACCCTGGGACTGATCCCCAGCACCACAAATGGTTGAAGGGATGGATGAAATTCTTCCTTCTCTATTACTCTGGCAGACCCTGGTAAGGCATACCATAAAGAGCAAGACCAAGACCCAGCTATTCTATTTCCAAGTTGTGGAAGGCACAAACGCATCCTCTCTCAAGCCTCGGTTTCTTCAGCTACAAACTGAAGATACAAATGTCTGTCGCTGCCTTAGCAGGCTGCTGAGGATCAAATCAAACAAATAACTACATAAAAGCCTACTGAAAAGAATACTACACAGATGCAGAGACTGCTATTCTGTGTAGCGTATCAGTGGCAACAATTGTGGATCAGTAAAAGGCAAGAGAAGCTGGTTCTAAGAAGCAGTAAACATTGACATGAAATGGCCCATTGAGTAGGTCGTTCTGTGCATTCCCTGGACCTGACTGAACAGCAGCCCAGTGGTCAGAACTAGAGGAAGGGAGGGGTGACTGAAGGAGGCAGAGAACCACTCACTTGGCTGGGGGCAGGGACAGCATCTTATGCATGGTGGAGGTCATTCGATCTCTGCCCAGACTGAAGGCATCCTTAGTCAGGGACATGGCTTCCTTGGTGAGGTCCATGGTGGCATGCAGAGCCTCCTTGGTGGCATCCTTGGTCATGTGGATAGCACTTGAGAATTCTCCCTCAATGTTCTTCAGGGGGATGGGCTCACTCTGTCCATTCACAGCAGTGGCCCTGCTTGTGGGGGACTTCGACACAGCTGGTGAGCTGGAACCCTGGGCTTGGCTCAGTCTCTTAGGCTGCAGGGACTCGATGGCCTCGTGGCCCTTTCCTGCCACCTGCCGTGCAGGGGGACCCAGGTCCTGCAGGTCTCCATTGCTATGCAGCCTCTCCTGGGACACATCCAGATTTTCTGTGCTGCTGTCCTCCAGGACCTTCTCAGGGCTTGCTGGGCCCTGCTCTGAGGATGCATCAGACTTTGGTTCCCGATCCTCTGAGGGAGACAGTTCAGAATCTATGAGGCTGGTGGTATCTGAACCTGCAGAGTCTGCATCAACAGCCCCAGGGGCAGGATGCATGAGCAGAGCCACCTCTGCGCTGGGGAAGAGGACACCAATGCAAGCTGTCTGGTCCTGCAGGGGAGACCCTGTCATGGCCTGTGTATCTTTGGTCAGCTGCTCCTGAAGCCCCTGCAGCATATCCTTCAGGCGGAGCAGGGCCAAGTACTGGTAGTGGTCCAGCCGCACTCGAACATGAGTAGGGGAGTGCACGAGCACATGGACATCAGCTGCGTCCTCCAGCTCTGCTGGAGGCCCTTTGCTGTCTGCAGCACCGCTGCCTTCTCCTAGAATGTCCATGACTTCCGTAAGGCCTGACAGACTCTTCAGATCATGCTCAGTCTTTGACCTCTGATGGGACACAGAATCAGGGGCAAGGGGCTCAGACCAGACAGGACTTCCAAAGCTGGCTGACGGTTTCAGCCTCCCCTCTGAGGCCAAAAGGAGCCTCTGGGCCTGGGCTTGTTGCCAGCGGAGAGGCAGGCAGGCCCAAATGGACAATGGGAAGGGAGCCACAAAATTCAAGGAATGGCCTCTGAAGTTCTCTGTTCCCTCAAAGTCCAACGAGACCTGGGAAAAGTGGATGGACCAGAGATCCTGGGAAGCCTTGGGTCTCTGGAGAGGGAGGGTACTGGGCTGCGAGAGGCCAGAATCCATCTGAAAGGCATGGTGCAAAAAAAGCATGTGCAGAAGGCTAAAGCCACCCAGAACCTTGGGAAAGTGATCATAATTAGAATGAAAGAACTCAGCAGCAGCAAAACCCCGAAAGAGACTCTGGAGGTCGGGACAGCTACAATGTGGGGCATGACGTGTATTGGTGGCAATCATGCCAGATGCAGAGAAGACAAGGGCCTGGGGACGATGCAACTTCGCCTGCTCTTTCTTCTCCAGCGGGAAGTTCACCTTCAGAGAGAAAATGTTTGTTTGTTTTTTTGGTACCGGGGATCGAACTCAGGACCTTGTGCTTGTGAGGCAGGTGGCGGCACCACTGAGCTAAATCCCCAGCCCCCAGACAGAAAATGAAACACAACTCAGAATGGCCATCTGAGAATCTCAGCATGCCACCATTAATACACATGTGAGAAACCATCTGGGCTGTGAAACTGCTTTTCTTGCTTCCATCAAATGTATGAGATAGAGCAGAACTGCAGATTATAGCCCCAGGGGAAATGCAGCTGTGGCTACCAACAGAGGACAAAAATCCCACCCTTTCCCCACCTTCAAGCGGAAGGCATCCAGCCGGATATCCAAGTGTTCATCTTTCTGCCTTGAATCTTCCAGCTTATAGATCGCTTTAAACTGCTCCAAGCTTCGGTATAAATCAAGGCAGAAGAGGTTTCCCCAGAGCAAGCTGACAGGATCCACAGTAAATATCAGATTGTTTAACTGAACGTAGAGATTGGAACAGGGAACTGGAAAAGAGAAGAAAAAAAATCATCATGTGTAAAGCAGCAGCTGGACTCTTACCAGCTAATATTTATTTTATTATCAAGAGAGCAAAGACATACATTTGCACGGGGCAGTTTTTTCTTTTTTCTTTTTTTGGTACCAGAGACTGAACTCAGGTCCTTCCACTTGTGAGGCAGGCGGTGGAACCACTGAGCTAAATCCCCGGCTACACAGGGCAGTTTTTAACAAAAGTGTGCAAAAACAACTCGAATCTCTAAAACCCCTAGCAACATGTGAGAATCTACAAGACTGCAAGGCAAAGAATGTGATTCAGACAGAAATGGCCAGCCCGATGCTCACCTGGAAGCTTCTGATTATCTGGGAAGTAATACTCGGTGAACTCGATGTGAATCGCAGAGACCTGAGTGGGCAGGTTGTGGAGCTTTCGGCTGCAGGAGAGGAGTGTGGATGGCTTCTTGCTTGGCTGTCCAGCTGTAGACACCTAAGCAATCACAACTTACTGTCAGCACCTGCAGCAGCCCCAGACTATAAGGCAGCTTCCTCAAAGGAGCAACACCACCCTCCTGCCAAGCCTGCCACAGGAACACAGTGCTTTTCACACACGTTCCAGGCATTCTCACACCTGCTTCACACCATCCCCAAGTTAGCAGGAGGCTGCACTAAGGCATCTGGAGGAAAACTGGGAGAATTCCCAAGTCCTTTTCTCAACAGCCATGGTTGGAAGAAACAGACCAAGCTGTGGATCTACCCAGATATGAGGCAAACAGTCCCTGGATTCCACAGTTTGTTCACGAAGCCCCAGGTGCCTTCCACATGAGCTACGGCACCGTTTTCCAACCAGGCTTCCCCACATCCTCACCTGGTGGATGTCCAGGTCATCCACGCGCACAACCATGCAGCTAGAGCGTAAGCGATTCCAGGCTGGAGGTCGGAAGGTGGACTCCCGGCCCTGCAAGGAAGTTTTCTCAAGAGGGTTCTTTTGAGGACTGGAGAGAGAAGCTACATAAAAAGACAATGGGGAAGAGAATCAAGATACATTCAACCCTTATTAGTAACAGAATTAGGAAAGTAAAAATCTTAAGAGCAGAGGTATAAGCCTACAATCCCAGCTACTTGGGGGGGGCTGAGGCAGGAGGATCGTAAGTTCAAGGCCAGCCTAAGCAACTTAGTGAAACTCTCCCCCCAAAAATAAAAAGGGGCCGGGTATTTAGCTCAGTGGTGCTGCACCTGCCTCGAAAGTGCAAGATCCTGAGCTCGATCCCTGGTACCAAAGCGGGGGGGGGGGGGGCACTTTGAGGTCTAAAACTCAGTGGTAGAGCACTTGCCTACCATGCTCAAGGTCCTGGGTTCAATCCCCAGCACCTCAAAAGAAAAAAAATCCTAAAATCATTAATGCTGTAAATAGAAAAGAACTTAACACTGGATGGAACTCAAAAATATTCTTAAGACCAAGGTAACTGCCTACTGAATACAGATGATGACAACTTCTCCTTAACACTGCAGTCATTCCTGGGGACAGAGGACTCCATAAAGAAAACATCACTGATGTCGCTCCATGGGATACAATCAAGTTAATTAGCTACTCCATTGCTTTATCCCACTAGTTATTCAAAGATAAATGGCAAGAGGCCCAGAGATGTAGCTCAGTGGTGCTGTACCTGCCTTGCAAGCACAAGGTCCTGAGTTCAATCCCCAGTGCAAAAAAAAGATAAATGTCCAGAGGCTGAGCAACAGGAGTGCTCCAATTCCTAGTGACCCACCTGCTTTTCTTCGGAAGGGAGCATCTACCCCCAGGTGCCAGGATGTTTTCAGCCCCGTCTCTTCGTGCCACTTCTCCATTTTGCTCTGAAATTCCATCACCAGCTTCTGGGCCCACTGGCCTCTGGTCTCCATGGCCTCACAGTGCCGAGCCCAGTGTTTGCAGCTATCGCCTATGCAACAAAGAAACAGATTTTAGCCCAAAGTCATGAGCCAATGTTCCAAATTTTCCTTCCCAGAAATATAGGCACATGCAGAATCTGATCCCTCATCCCCAATCCATAATTCTCTAGGATAAGGAAAAATCAGCCAGTGAGAGCAGCCCAGTTCTCCTGGACTCCATGTGTGATTTTTTCCCTGAGGCTTCTAAAAGCTAGCTTCTACTGTCATCGTGGGCATGGGACACCAGAGAGTCTCCAGACCTACGGAGGCAAAGGGCTGAAAGTAACATCTCAGGCACTGCCTCCCCTCTCCGAGTCCTCTCATCACCAGGATGCAGGTTTCCAAAAGATGTCCTGCTGCAGGGACATTCCCAACACCTCTCTGCATGCTCCTGCTGGACAGTCAGGGATGAGCCCAGGATCTCCCCTCAGTATTTTAGGCCATTCAAGTACTGACCCCATCCAGAGTTCTCCTCACCTGCCCAGTGGAATGGGTAGTAGTCAAATGCCATCTTGCGGAAGGTAAGCTGCATGGCACCACCTGTGAGCCTATTTGCAGAGACACCTGTGGAAGAAAATACAGATGAACAGCATTGGCAGGAGCAGAGAAGCCTAACACTGAAGCGCTTACAAGTTCCCTGCTGCCAGCACTAAATCCCAGCCGGTAACAGTGCAGCTGAAAAGCAAGGTGACTTCCACGTTGGCAGCCTTCCTCTTTTGAGTTGCAATAGTCCATGGACATATTCTAAAAGATCCATAAAAAGTATATTCCCATCTCTAAATGGCCACCAGATTTCAAGAAAAGCAAAAGAAACTGAAAAACTCATGATTCAGTAATCTTATTTTATTGTATTTATTTATTTATTTTCAGTCGTTTTGACAGGGTCTTGCTATGTAGCTCAGGTTAGCCTTAAACTATGTAGTCCAGGCTGGCCTCAAACTCATGGTGATCCTCCTGCCTCAGCCTCCCAAGTGCTGGGATTGCAGGCGTGTGCCACCATGCCTGGTGATCCAGGGATTTTAATCCCAGGTTTCCTGCAGACACACTCTAGACCGATTGTTTCCCCCAACCCTAACAGTACTAGTATTGTTGTCCTTCAGCATAGCACTTGGAAAAGCATAAGCCTGACCCCCTCCAAAACAACAACAAAAACAAGAACACCAGAACCCACGTTATTTCCCTTGACATTTTCACACAGAGCTACAAATGTGATACCAGATAATTCTGATGGAACTATACACACCTCTCAGAGTACTGTGGACACTTAAAGTAATGCACAAACAGGAACATTAAAAACAGGACATTGTAGGAAGACGGCAATTTTTAGCATGAGTCAAACACTGTACTTGTCTTGAATTTACATTGAATTCTTACTAAATGAATGAACTATTCGTGTTTCTCTCTCTCCAACTGGACTAAAAAACTGTAAACCCAGGAACTATTTCTTCCCCGTGTGTGTAATCTGACCCACCCTATCTTGTACTTGCACCCTGACCTGACCCCTACTGGTGTATCTAGCACAGAGTGCTGAAGATAGAAGACCCACAATCAATTTGAGGAAAACACCACAAGAACTGGTGAAGGCAATGTCATGGGAGCTTCTGGCATAGCCAGCAGACCTTCAACAGATAGGGGAGCTGTGATGCAATACACATCTCACCATCCCAAATTCTGGACTAGTCACCTTCCTAACAAGGGAAACACCTCACCAGGGTTTCTGCTTTTCAACCTTTCTTTCATAATGACCTCTCCCAGCAAGGAACCAGTTTAGCCTTTTTTTTTTCCTAATTGAGCCTTCCTCTATATTTGTGTATATATGTATATGTACCTGTGCTTTACACATTAAAAAGTGTGTGTGTGTGTGTGTGCGCATATATATATATATCTTCTTTTTCTTCAATCCAGGGTTAAGAAACACAAAATAGATTTTAAGTTAAATTAAATATTTCAAAGCAATTAATATTTAGCTTTGCTGTGCATGGTGGTACATATCTATAACCCCAGCACTCAGGAGGTTGAGGCCGGAGGATCGCTGTGAGTTTGAGGCCAGCCTGAACTAGATAGAAAGACCCTATCTCAAAAACAAAATAAAACAAAAAATTTAGCTTACAGTTATAACTGTATTTGCTGATAATGTTTAATGTGACTCCTTATATAAATTATAATGTTTACACTGCTATACATTAGCAATTTATATAAATACATAAGTCATATAATCAAAATTATAATTATTCAAACTTATTTTTTTCAGCAAAAGTAAAACAACTGAAATTTTAAAAATTATTTTTACTGGGCCAGGGATTTAGCTCAGTGGTTCCACCGCCTGCTTTGCAAGCACAAAGTCCCAAGTTCAAGCCCCGGTACCAAAAAAACAAAACAAAACAAAAAAATTATTTTTACTATACTTAACTTTTTTTCATTTTTCTCATTTTTTTCCCTTGGTTTTTTGAGGCAGGGTCTCACTATGTAGCCCAAGTGGGCCTTCAATTTGCAATCTTCCTGCTTCAGCCTCTCAAGCGCTGAGATTACAAGCTGCACATTACCACGCCTGGCTTAACTTTTGCCTGATATAAGAAAATAACTCTTAAAACTAGCTACTAGACACTCATTCAGATATTTTCAAGCTTTTTCCCTTTGAGCAACTGACTAAATTAAGACAGGGTTAAATAACTTTAGTAGACTTAAACAAATTATTTTCACTTAATTTCCAAAGTGTAAATCACAGAAATACCAAGAATCACACATAAAAAACATCAGCAAGCAGCCAACAGGCATGAGCAGGCCATCTTTAGCCATATGACTTTGAGATCTAGCAATCCATTAAGAGAAAGTCCTCTGCTCATAGCCATCTATTTGCCACATGAATTCAAAGTCAATACTGCTCATGTGATACCCATTAAAAACCCTACAAGAAAAATTAAACACAAAAGAAAAAGACTTTGTTAAATTTTGGAAGGCCACAAAACTATTATTTCCCAACCCCTGAAACCAATTTCCAACACCTATAATGGGCAAACAGCAAAACAAAAAGATGCTGCAAAATAGGGAATATAGCTAATGGGTATGGGTTAAAGGGATAAAAATATTATAAAATTGGATTGTGGTAATGATTATACAACTCTGAACAAACTGAAGACCACAAATCATCGATGTTCATTGCATAATCTAAATGATTTGTATGATATATTAATTATATCTCAATAAAACTGTTTAAAAGAGCCACTATTCACCTGGGAGTGGTATTTTCTCATTTGAAAACCAAATGGCCTAGGCTAAGGGAAAAAGGTTCCATAACCATGATCTGCCCATTGGAGCTATTTAGATCTAAAAGGACAAGCATATTGAAATAGGATCCACAATGGAAATCAAACAGAGCTAACAATTCCCAGCCTAATTGTACGCACAATCACTCATGAGACATAAATGGCAAAAGTGTACATAAATAACTATCAAAATGCTCAAAGGTGGGAATGGTGGTGCACGCCTATAATCCCAGCTACTTCTGAGCTGGAAGCAGGAAGATCAAGAGTTGAAGGTTTAAGCACAGCCTGGCAAAAACATTTGTTTATAATTATGGTCCTCCAAGCCAGGTGTGGTAGCACATCCTGTCATCCCAGCATTCTGGAGGCTGAGGCAAGAAGATCAGGAGATCAAGCCCAACCTGGGGAACTTTGCAAGGCCTTGTCTCAAGATAAAAAATAAAAACGTCAGAGAAAGGCCCTGGAGTCAATCCCCAGGATTTTACACACACACACACACACACACACACACACACACACACACGG